ACTTGGTCAAGCACACAAACTGCACTCTTCAGGTAAGGGGGGTTGGACAAAAAGTTTTCTTGGCAAACAGCCATGTGGTTAATGTTGGCTCCATGCATTAGATGTGGGCCCTGAAAAGAATATTGTCGAGGTTACTGACCCCTTGCTTTACAAGACCTTGTCTGCGATCCAGTGCAAGCACATGCGTTTGCAAAACAAGCAAGCGGAGCTGTACCCAGCCTAATTAATGTTCATGAAATAGTTGCTTTTACAATCCCAAAATAAATGATACCCCCCAGAAGGGAGTCAAAAATCTTTACCACAAAATGGAGTACAAAGTAGAAGTACCACTGGTCGTTAATGCCACCTCAAATTATATTGAAATCTCTCAAAATAGGGGATCCCGATTTTCTTGCGAATGAGAAAGAATAAATTTGGGGATCCCCCAATGAAGTCAAGAGTATTATTGGCCTGTTTGTTTTCTGTCTTTACCACGCACAACATGGAGTTAAGGTTTTTCAACATGAAGGAATCGGTCAGAGGCGGTATCCGGCAGAAACCAAGTGCTCTTTCGTTTGTATACAGCTTCATCAATCTAGCGTCATGGACCCATAGTGACCCAGCGAGCATGATTCGAGCTTGGTGCCTTGTCAATTTGTTACATTCAAGTGAGTTTTGTTTTTACAATCCCATGGTTTATATGCATACTTTGCACGAGGGCCCAAACCATGTCACTACTAAATTTTGTTTGGTGTTGTTTGTTTCTGGAGGATAACGGTTTATCCGAAAATGGTGTACAACTGTAAAACCCTCAAATAGCAGTTGAATGGGATAATGATACTAATTGTAATTCATTGGAATTAGGGGCACCCTCTTTCAGCACATATTTGATGCATGTTTTGAATGGGGACCCCAACCAGGAATGATGAAGCTTCACGAGACGATCGGCTGGCTGGTGCCAAGAAAAATTCGGTGACATCCATCTTGGATCTTCCCAATCAATGTCGTGAAGTCTTACTGGCAACAGTGAGTGAGTTTGGCTTTGATGGTTCCTAGCAATGCTTTGTCATCTTGTTGATACTGTGTTTGTTGTGTTTGTTTCACGGAATGGTTGGGGATTCGCTTTGGGTTATTTGGGGATGTCTCAAAATGCCGCGCCTTTTTATTCTTAGAGCTCACATTTTTAGGGCCAAAAAGGGCACCTCATTTTGAAAGAGATACCTGTTTTGGGTTTCGAAAAAAGTTGCTAACTGATTTATTATGAAATTTGCTGTTCCTCAATGAGGTTCCCCCTACACTGATGACAATCTCGGCAGCAAGAAGTACCTCCCCGGGTATTCCTTCAAAGGGCGCGCAGTGCCCCGCAAGTCCCCATGGGTGGAACGAGGCAAAGTTACCAAGGACAGTTGCCTGGCTATGTTTACCATGATCCACAGCCAGCACTGCAAGAATCCAGACCGCAAGTTGCTGAAGGCCCATCTGGAGGAGAAAGCTGAGATTTGCGCGTTGGCTTGTCCCTTGGGTTCAATGTTCAATGTTTTGGGGCAGTGTAAACTCATGATGTATTTAAGGCCTATACCAATGGTTTCAGGGCATTGTTTTCTATGACCTGTGCAGTCATCAGGTGCTTTGATCCAGGAGGTTGCGGCGGAAGTCCCAAACTCTGAGAAAGAACTTCGGGACCGGTTCTTCGCCCTGTGAATTAACAAGTCTGCTCCTTCCTCAGTATTATAATAGCTGCTAGTTCTTTCGTTTTCAAGTACCTTTTGATTTGGTGGATTCAAACTGCACAAAGCAGAACAAGGTATTTGTCCAAACTTCATGCTGGGGATGCGATTGTGGAAACCGAGCTGCGGAGTGCTCTGATGACAAAAAGTGAAAAGTATGTTGCCCGAGACAACACAAGTAGCTTGGACAAATCAAATTTTGATTTAAGATACGATAGTTCATTAGCTAGCTTACCGTCTTATTTCTTCTCCATCTGAATATACAATATGATTAAAGGTATTGCGAGCATCCTGAATGACATGGGTGGCAAAAGTGGCCCAGACGGTACTTCCATAGAATTGCAATCGGCAGTGGAAATTGGAGAGCAAAAGGTTGCCCATCAGGCCTACCAGTTGTTGATGACGGAGTTGGACTTTGATGTGAAGAGTTGGCGAGTTCACCAGCGAAAACTGAAGGAATATGACCTACGACTCTATCACCAGAAGGATCGGTGGCAAATCGATAGGCACCAGGCAGCCAAAGCAGGAGCGGCGAAGATTCTGGACAAAAAGGTGTGTTGTTTGAATGAACCTGTGAAAAAATATTGAAAAATAGATCGTTTAAGGCTCGTCCTGCTGTGTTACTATTGGTAGGTTTGTGCAACGTTTCTCACAACAATGTTATTTTTACACTGTGGTGATGAGTTTTTTAATGGTTTTCCCCTGAGGTTTTCACCATCACCTGGCCTGAGAAGATCCTGCCCGGCACAGCCGTAGAGATTGTGCAAACTATGGCGGCTGATTCCAAGGCATGGGCTCACAGCCTCAAGTGCAACCATGTTGTTCCTTGCTTTGGATTGTTTTCCCTGTTGGGCTGGAAAGCTTTTGGGACCTGCAGCTGAGTGTTTCCACAGTAGGCATGGGGCTGGCATTTCTTCAGTGGTCTTTAAATCTCTGAGGTGACTCTTCATGTGCTGAACTTTGCTGCTCCACCTCTTGTGAAGAACGATGTGCTGACAGCAGCAACAAAAATCACTGGCCACCACTTCATGGCATCACCGAAGGACACGATCGGAATCTTGCTGTCTCCAATCTTTTCCCACAAGCCGGGCACACTCTTCATGGATGAGCACATGGTTTTGAAAGCACTGCATTTGGACAGTGTGTTGGTGGATATGAACGTGCAGCTGTGCTTCGACCCCAAAAGCAAGTCTGATACTTTTTTGTGGATTCAGAGCTAGCTTTTGGTTTACATGTTGTTCTTGTTTATGTGTTTTTTGTGTTTTGATTTTAGATATGATGTGTGTGTGTGCCTGTCACACTCAAAGTTCTTTGTTGGGTTCATGGGTCCCTTAGTGCATGTATGACACCTTGATATTTTCAATAGGGGGGATACTTCTGATTAAGGACCAGAGAGACCAACGGCCACTTACATACCCATGTCGCCTGCTCTCCGCAATGATGGACAAGAATGACAAGATGAATGAATGGGTGTGGCGAAACTGTGCCCTTGCTAAGAACGGGAGAAACCTTGATGAACCTGCTCAGCTGTCACAGAAGGATTGACATTCTGTTTCCAAAGTGTTCAAAAATGGACCCAATTTTCCAATTCTTCGATCAAAGGATAAACCTTGTAACCCTGCAGGACCTGATCCAGATTGAGGAAGCTGACAAGCTCCCGCTTTCAAATGTTGATGACCGAGTGCGTGGTGGAACAAAGTATGCGCAGGTTGGAAAGGATGCGGCCCTTTCGTTGTTGAAGAGCATGACTGATTCTTAGCTTACCGTGTTTCATTTTTTCCACGTTTCTTCCCCTGAATGTTGCCGGAAGAAGATTCGGTGTTGATTGGTTTCCACTGGACAGTTTTTAAGGAAGGAGTGACCTGGTCCTCAGCGACCTGCCTGTACATCATTGACTACGTCCCCGTGGTTGGTGATTTCGCACATGCGGCTTTGATGCTCAGTTCTTCCTTGAATATCCCTGTGCGATATGCAGCACTGCTTGATTCTTCCCATGAGGAATGGCTTTCCGACAGCTTGATGCAGAGTTTGACTGACCAGCTCTTGGCAGGACAAGTACAACCCCCGAATGGCATCACCATTCCAGCGGCAGATCCACCTCCTGAGCACATGGACCAAAAACCTGACCCACCCCAAATGAAGAAGATGACTTTCATCAAGGTACCAAACGGTCATTCAAACGATGTTTGGGGTATGGAATATTGGGTTGAATATAGTTCTACATTTACCATGTTCCTGTTGTATGTTTTCGTATGCTTTCATCCTTGCCCTCCCAGGTGGATGGTGAAGTTGCTGGAATCCAGGTTCCCGATCAGGTTCAAAAACAGTGGCATTCCAACCCAGTTCATGGCACCGAATTCCGGGCTTGGATGGAAACGTTCAATGAGGAATTTCCCAAACCAGAAAAAAAGGGGGCCAAACGAAATGCGTCGGCAGCGGCAGGAACCACCAATACCCCCAACAAAGTGCAGAAAGTTGGGGCAAAACCAATTGACATGTCGATGTTTGGGCCACTGCTTCGGGAGAAGGGGAAGGAGCCTGAGGAAACAGTGTTGCAAAGGGTCAACCTCCTCAACCTTTCCAACATTGATCTTGTCATCCAGACTGGGGCCATCTTTGTGACCAATGTTGGTGAACAGAAAGTTTCTTGATATCAAAAATTGCTACGGTTCCCCAAAAAAAACACCAAATTTTACCCCAAATTCTATGTCAGCTTATGAATATATATATATATGTACATATATATATAGGATTTGGGATATATAGCTGAATTCATTTCCACAATCTGTTCTGTTTAGATTGTGAGCAGTTTCATCCCATGGTCCTTTAGGGTGATGTGTACTGTAATGATAGCACCTATCTGATTTCCAAGGTGTGCATTCCAGAGGGTACCAGCATTTGCGGGTTCGGCCGGGGCAATTTTCGATTTGGTGGTGAGCAGACGGCTGCTCAAGACCATGAGATTCACTACTTGATCAAGTCAGCAGACCAAATTGTGATCATGGATGGGCGCGCGCATTACCTTGGTGACCTTTTGGAGGCCCAGCGGTTGAAAGCCCCCGATAAGCCAGGTCTTCAGTACTACGAGGCGACACTGGAGAAGGTAGAGCAGAAGTGGGAATTGAAAAAGGCTGGGCATGCAATGTAAAAAAACATGTCTGAAATTGGAATTTAGAAATAAATATTTCCTGAAATCTCCAGAAGGCTAGCTTGACCTTAGGGTTTATGTTGAATAAGTATGGGTTTGAGTTTGGCCCTTCAGTTTGGCACTTCCTTAAAGACATGTCCCCAGAGGTGAAAGACTTGCTGTTCACACCGCGCATGGATGAGGACAAGAATAACCAAACCACGTGCGCAAAGAATGCCAGTCCAGTGTTGAAGTGGGAGAGTGAATGGACAGGGATTGCATGGCATGTCAAACAGACATCCCAGGGATTGCAGCCCCAAAGACCAGTTGTTGTTGCTACCCAGGGTGTTGAGATTGATGTCGGTCAGTCACTTTTGGTAGACACCCTGCGATAGTTTCACTGTTTCATGCTACTGCCAGGGTATCCCAGCACTCAGGTTGGATTTTGAACCATTAAATTTATATCTCGGGGTACCCCGTGGCATGGAAAAACAGGGTCTATTTGGGCACGTCCCTGCGGCGGGCTTTTTCAGCCATGCTGACGATCAAAAACCTGCATAACATATTCATTGTAGGTAGACAAGATGATGAGCCAAAGTTTACTTGAAACAACCTTCCCTCTGTTTCACTTATTGTGAGTTTTTTGTTTTTATCTCCTTCTTGTTTCCCGGGTAGAAAAGTTTCCCTCTAAACAAGTTTTGCCGACAAGCAACCTTTCTCGCGTACATGTCCTGCCTTGCTCTTTTAGGGACTACAGTATGAGGCAACGATTCTTACAAGTAGCCTAGATGATGGGGCAAAGGCTACTTGAAACAACTTCCCCTCTTTTGCACTTTTTGTATCGCGCACCTCCTTTTTATTACTGGGCTGGAAGGGTTTGCTCTCTGCGCAAGGTTCGGCCGAGAATCAGTATTCAATTTCCTTTTTTCTCTTTTATGTTTCTTGTCTTGTTTTCAGTTGCTTTTGCTGGGGTGGAAATTCTTTTGAAGGGGACCGGGCCAGCTTCTCTCAACTGTGCCGTCTTTCCTTTGCATTCCTTCTCATGTCCTGGCTTGTTGTTGCTGGGGGTGGACAGGTTGCCGTCGTTACGGGCCATGAGGCAAAACTTCTTTGACCTAGCCACGCTCTAGACGATGGGGAAAAGGTTACTTGAAACAACGTTCCCTCTTTTGCACCTCTTGTCTGTTGTATCTCCTTATTGTTTTTGAGGAAGAAATCATTATCTACTTGCTGTTGGTGGGCCAGCTTCTCAACTGTTCTCTTTGCTTTGTACTCCTCTTCTTGTGGTTGTTTGCTGTTTCTGAGGTGGACAGGTTGCTCTTTGAGGTTTTCACTTCCACCTTTCTTGTCTTGTTTGTTGTTACTGTTGCTGGTGTGAAAGGCTTTCGAAGGGGATGGGGTCAGCTTCTCTCAGCTGTGTCGTCTTTCCTTTTCATTCCTCCTCTTGTACTTGTTTGTTGTTGCGGGGGTTGACAGGTTGCCGTCTTTAGGGACAACTCTAGATGATGGGGCAAAGGTTACTTGAAACAACCTCCCCTCTATTGCACCTCTTGTGTATCGTTACTCCTTTTTGTTTCTGCGGTGGAACGGTTTCTCTCTAAACATGCTTTGGCCGATAATCAACTATCACCTTCTTCTTCCACGTTTACATTTGATGTCTTGTGATTCTCTACTTGCTGTTGCTGGGACAGCTTCTCAACTGGCGCCTTTGCATTGCAGTCCTTTTCTTGTGGTTGTTTGTTGTTTCTGGGGTGGACAGGGTGCTCTTTTAGGGACTACAGTATGAGGCAACGCTTCTTACAAGTAGCCTAGATGATGGGGCCAAGGTTATTTGAAACAACTTACCGTCTTTTGTTGTTTTTAATTGTAACATATTGTAACTCCTTTTTCTTACTGGGCTGGAAGGGTTTGCTCTCTACGCAAGGTTCGGCCGAGAATCAGTACTCAATTTCTGGCTTGTTGTTGCTGGGGGTGGACAGGTTGCCGTCGTTACGGGCCATGAGGCAAAACTTCTTTGACCTAGCCACGCTCTAGACGATGGGGAAAAGGTTACTTGAAACAACGTTCCCTCTTTTGCACCTCTTGTCTGTTGTATCTCCTTATTGTTTTTGAGGAAGAAATCATTATCTACTGCTGTTGCTGGGCCAGCTTCTCAACTGTTCTCTTTGCCTTGTATTTCTTTTATTGTGGTTCTTTGCTGTTTCTGGGGTGGACAGGTTGCTCTTTGAGGTTTTCACTTCCACCTCTCTTGTCTTGTTTGTTGTTACTGTTGCTCGTGTGAAAGGGCTTTCGAAGGGGATGGGGTCAGCTTCTCTCAGCTGTGTCGTCTTTCCTTTTCATTCCTCCTCTTGTACTTGTTTGTTGTTGCGGGGGTTGACAGGTTGCCGTCTTTAGGGACAACTCTAGATGATGGGGCAAAGGTTACTTGAAACAACCTCCCCTCTATTGCACCTCTTGTGTATCGTTACTCCTTTTTGTTTCTGCGGTGGAACGGTTTCTCTCTAAACATGCTTTGGCCGATAATCAACTATCACCTTCTTCTTCCACGTTTACATTTGATGTCTTGTGACTATCTACTTGCCGTTGCTAGGCCACCTTCTCAACTGCTGCCTTTGCTTTGCAGTCCTCTTCTTGTGGTTGTTTGTCCTTGTTTGATGTTTCTGGGGTGGACTGGCTGCTCTTTTAGGGACTACAGTATGAGGCAACGCTTCTTCCAAGTAGCCTAGATGATGGGGCAAAAGTTACTTCAAAAAAACTTACCGTCATTTTTGTATTGTTTCGGGAATTGTCAACGACTTGTATATAGTTCCTTTCAATTACTGGGCTGGAAGGGTTTGCTCTCTGCGCAAGGTTCGGCCGAGAATCGGTACTCCAATTTCCTTTTTTCTCTTTTATGTTTCTTGTCTTGTTTCCAGTTGCTGTTGCTGGGGTGGAAATTCTTTTGAAAGGGGCCAGCTTCTCTGAACTGTGTCGTCCTTCCCTTTCATTACTTTTCGTTTCCTTGCTTGTTGTTGCTGGGGGTGGACAGGTTGCCGTCGTTACGGGCCATGAGGCAAAACTTCTTTGACCTAGCCACGCTCTAGACGATGGGGAAAAGATTACTTGAAACAACGTTCCCTCTTTTGCACCTCTTGTCTATTGTATCTCCTTATTGTTGCTGGGTAGAAAAGTGTCTCTCTAAACATGCTTTGGCCGATTATCAATTGTCACTTCCTTCTTTTACGTTTACATTTGATGTCTTGTGATTATCTACTTGCTGTTGCTGGGCCACCTTCTCAACTGCCGCCTTTGCTTTGCAGTCCTCTTCTTGTGGTTGTTTGTTGTTTCTGGGGTGGACAGGCTGCTCTTTTAGGAACTACAGTATGAGGCAACGCTTCTTCTACGTAGCCAAGATGATTGGGCAAAGGTTTCTTGAAACAACTTCTCCTCTGTTGTACCTCTTGTGTGTTGATGTGTGTTGTATCTCCTTCTTGTTTCTGGGGTGGAAGGGTTTCTCTCCAAACAAATTTAAGATGATAATCAATTATCAATCTTTGGCGTTTACATTCCTTGTCTTGTATCTAGTTGCTGTTGCTGCAGTGGAAGGGCTCTTGAGGGGAGGCGGGCCAGCTTCTCTCAACTGTTGTATTTCGTTGGCGTTTCTTTTCTTGTATTTGCACATTGCTACTGGGATGGACAGGGGGGGGCTATTTAATTCCTCTTGACATGAAATAGCTTTGGTTGTGGGGCAAGGGCTGGTTGAAACCATCTTCTATCCTTTGCGTCTTTTGTCAGGTTCTTTTTTAATTTGCTGCTCAGGTGGAAAGGTTAGCTCACGAGACAAATTTTGGGCCGATGTGGGCCGATATGGGCCGACAAAATGTCTTTGCTCCCCGTCTCATTTTTTGTTGTCTGTTTTAGTTGCTGCACTGGCATGGTTGTCTTTAGAAAAGGCTGGGCCAGGTTCTCTCACTTGCTGTCTTGTCTTAGCATTCCTTGTCTTGTCTTCGTGTGCTCTTTCTGGACTGGGCACATTGCCACCTCTAGGGACAGTGAAGCAAATCTTTGAAAAAATATCCTGTCCTCTGCATCTTACTGTAATCCACAGACCATCTCCTTGGCTTGGTGGTAGAAGGATGGGCTATCTAGACAAGGCGGAGCCAAAAACCATTCTTCAACTCCATGCCTGCCTACGCCTCTTTACTTTTGTCTTGTAAGTACCTGAGTGCTGTTGCCGCATTGGAAAACTGTGTTCTTCAGGGCAGGTTTGGCCAGCTTTGGTCAACTGTTGCCTTTTCTTTGCATTTCTCTTCTTGTCTTCGCGTGTTAGTATAATCGGTTTCTTGCCACTAGAAAAAATGCGTATGGATTTTGGGCCGTTGTGGTCCATACATATTGACCTTCTAGCAGGCAGAAAATTGCATGTTTTTCGTTCATGCATATGCAATTGAAATGACCCAAAAGCTCTGGTTAGGCTAAATTCTATCTATTAGGTTATATCATGTTATATCTGGTTTTCTGACTATTAGTTAAATTTTGTTTTTACCTATTAGGTAAAACAACTGTTTTACCGAATAGTCAGAATGATCAAATAACATTTTTTCTTTAGGTTATTTATATGAATATGTTTTTTCTTATAGGTTATTTATATGAATAACTTGTTTTGGTACCTTTTTTTGGATCAACTTCGTTTTCTCTATATATAAATGTATCTATCTATATTGTAATCTCCAATGAAACACTTTTTGGTTTGATACATTTTTTCCGATAAAATGATGCTGAAAAACTACATACAAAAGAAAACCAGAAAACATATATTTTGGATGGGACAAACCAACACAGGACAAAAAAAAAACACACCTGTCAATATACATATATATATATTGTATATACATGGATATGTCTGTCCTTTTTTGGTTCCAAAAAGGGTTCTTTGAGAGGGAAAAAGGACACCTCATTTTGAGGCAGCCCCCCCCCACACACACACACAAACACATGTATATATATATATATACTTATTATACTGTATATAAAAATACATAACATTACATATATATATATATATTTATATTTGAATAAATAAATGAATGACTATATACATATATATTAATCAAAAATCATGTTTTGCAAAAATCGGCAAGGATTTTTTTGGGGCACGAAGCCACCACAGGACAGAACAAAAAACATAAAACATAAAATTAGAAATAATGTTCAGTTCAAGAAAAAAACAATCAAATCAAAAACTCGCATAGCCAACAACCCAAAATAAGAACTCATTTGGAAAAACACGAGTTCATGTGAGTTCATGGGTGCTCATGCGCGCTCGAGTGCTCATGGGCGTCCATGGATGTTCATGGTTGTTCATGCGTATGTATGGGTGTTCATGTGTTTTTGTTTGTTTGTCGTTTTGTTTTGC